GGGCGATCGCCTCCGCCCTCCCCTCTCCTATACTCCCCGTGCCTCCCCAGGCGCCCCCGGCGGGGAGACCCAGCCGACCGGGCGGCAGGGAACGATCCGCTCCGCGTGGCTCCGTACCCGCTCCCGGGGGAGTGGGACGACCAGGCGGGCGAATGATGTTGAGCAGCTCCCCTTACTAACATCCAGCGGGAGCGGACCGGTCCAGTCCGCATAACCGCAGACCGGGGGCCGCCCCCGCGAGCAGCCGCCCGGAAGAATGGGCCACCCCACCGGGCGCCCCACAGAAGCGCCCGTCCCGTCATCTCCGAGAGTACACGGTCCCTACCTCGGACAGAGCCGAGCGGTCCCGTGCACTCCCCCACAGCCTTCAGACAGCACCCCGCCCGCCCCTCGACGGCACAGGGCGCTGCCCTTAGGCCGCGTCTCCACCAGTGACGCCCAGTGTGCAATGGGCGGTAGTTCATGAAGAACGATCGCCCACTGGAGCATACCTGGTGGTGAATGCTTGGGTGCAATGGGGTTAGTACCCCACCAGGCATTCGCTTTCCTCGGTGGCATGGGCTCGATGTCCTAAGACAGAGCCCGCCTGCAGCGATGGTGCTGCGTCGTCACTCCAGTCCCCGGTACCGCGAGGGAACCACCCCATCCCCCAAGGGGGGGGGGGAGGGTCCCACGCAGGCCCGGGGGCCGTGGTGGACGTCTACCACTCCGCTCTCGGAAGGGAGCAATCCCCCCTCTAACGGTGCCGAGTCACCGGGATTTGAAGTCAGAGTTACCTTCTCCTACCGGCGTAGTGATTCCCCATCCTGCAAAGGATGGTTCCACCAGGCCTTCCACACTCCAAGGAGTGTGGGAGGCCCTTGGGACGCCGGACCCTATCGTACAGAGTCCCTCTATTTAACGAGGGACTCCATACTGTGGAGTATTAGCACCCGGGACTCTCATAGAGAGCCCCGGGTGAGCCCCCGTGCCACGACAAGGTTCTCCACTCACGGGGGAAACTCACTACACTAAGAAGAATTATATTAACCTCAACAGATATACCGTTTATCACACCATGCATCCCGACGGTACTGCTCATGGGGGGTCGGCAATTATCATTAAAAATAATATCAAACACCACGTAACCGAAGAATACCAAACGGAGCTAATACAAGCCACAAACGTAGCGATAGAAGACTGGAACGGTCCACTTAATATCTCTGCAGTGTATTGTTCCCCAAAACACGCTACAAAACAAAATGAGCATGAGTTTGAACATTATTTCAAAAAATTAGGAAATCGCTTCATCTCAGGAGGTGACTTTAACGCCAAACATATACAATGGGGCTCACGACTAATATCTCCAAAAGGCAGATAACTTCACAAAGCCATGGAGCATTTAAACCTCGAACCAATGTCAACGGGAGAACCAACATACTGGCCTATCGATAGAAGAAAAAGTCCAGATGTCATTGATTTCTACGTTATGAAAGGAATAAAACAATACTTAAAAGTAAAATCTAGTCTTGATCTATCATCAGATCACTCCCCTGTTTTACTCACATTGAGCAGTAAAGTTATCGAAAGAGAAAAACCGTGCGTATTATGCAGTAAAAAGACCGACTGGGCATGTTACAAAAACCAAGTTGAAGAAACGTTAAACATATCTCTACCACTAAAAACGGAAAATGATGTCACCGAGGTAGAGCATTTCAACCAGTGTATCCAACAAGCAGCATGGAATGCTACCCCAGCTAAACCAACGATAAAAAACGCAAATGTATCCTCAGTACTGATAAGACAAAAAATTAGCAGAAAAACGACAAATAAGGAAAAAGTGGCAAATAACAAGATCTCCGGAGCTGAAATCTAAGCTAAATAAAGCTATCAAAAATCTACGCAGGATGTTAAAATCTGAAGTAAACGACAACATACAAGACTATCTACGAACCCTAAGCCCAACTCAAGGAACCGACTACTCGCTCTGGAAAGCAACTAAGCGACTGAAACAACCACAAATCCCAGTTCTGCCACTGCGCCTACCCGACGGTAAATGGGCGAGGAGTGCGCAAGCAAAAGCAGAAACATTTGCCCAACATCTGAAGCAAGTTTTCACTCCACATCCTGGCGAAACACTGACAGACGAAAATGAAGTCCACCGATCACTTAATGAAACCTATCAGATGGAACCCCCATTGGAGAAGTTCAAAATGAGTGAAGTTGTTAAAACTATCAAGTATGATATAAGTCCTAAAAAAGCGCCGGGGTATGACTTAATCACTGGGCAAATACTGTTTGAAAAATTAATACTTTCAAGACTAAAACCAATCATCGAAAGGAAACAGTTAATCCCCAATCATCAGTTCGGATTTCGCCACGAACACGCCACAATCGAGCAAGCTCATCGAGTCTACAACAAGATATTTGCAAGCTTGGAGGAAAAGAAATATTGTTCGGCTGCTTTTCTGGACATTACGCAAGCTTTCGATAAAGTATGGCATACTGGCCTTCTGTATAAAATAAAGTCAAACTTGCCATTAGGCTTTTATACCCTGTTAAAATCTTATCTATTAGATAGGTACTTCTTTGTCCAATACCAGGATGTTTCAACCGAACTACACAAAATACAAGCTGGGGTACCGCAAGGAAGCGTATTGGGGCCGATTCTATATCTTCTATACACCGCAGACTTGCCTACAAAAACTGGAGTAACAACAGCAACGTTCGCAGACGACACCGCAGTATTAGCTTCTCATAAAAATCCAATATTGGCCACCCAAATGCTGCAAAGTAACCTTAACGACATACAAAAATGGCTAAAGACATGGCGAATAAAAGCCAATGAAGCAAAGTCGGTCCATGTCACTTTCACCACGCGAAGAGAGACTTGTCCTGAAGTATCACTTAATGGTCAACAAATCCCGCAGTCAGGCCTAAATACTTAGGCATACATTTTGATCGCCGACTGAACTGGAAAACACATATATTTAACAAAAGAAAACAACTCGGGCTCAAATTACGCAACTATTCTGGCTCTTAAACCGAGCTTCCCAGCTCACGATCGAGAATAAGCTACTAATATATAAGACGATTCTAAAACCAGTATGGACGTACGGTATCTAGCTATGGGGAACAGCAGCCAACTCCAATATAGAGATACTCCAACGTTTCCAATTAAAAGTACTGAGAATGATAGTCGACGAACCCTGGTTTGTGACTAACGACACCATACATCAAGACCTTCAATTACCGAGTGTTAAAGAACTAATCCAGGACTATTGTAAAAATTATCACAATAGATTAAAAAATCACCCGAACGTTCTTACAGTTAACTTAATGAAAACACGAGAAACTAGGAGACTGAAGAGAAAAATTCCATCTGTCTGGAGACACTGGTAGTGTCTCGGCGCTAAGCCAAAGCGAAGCGACACTGCCGTGGCCTCCTTTACGCGAA